ATGACAGAGCTCAATTCTTTAACCCTTTTGCTGCCATGCCCTGTGCTCCACTTTTAAACCCAGCTGACCAGACCATTCTTGCATTTTTTCCATTGTTTTTTTATTTTTACCTTACAGCTTTCAGAGTTTGTAAAAGACCCCCAAACCATATATTTTCTAAAAGCACATGACCAGTAGAATAAAAAGTAAGTGCTACTGATTTTTAAGACTCTGCGATATTTGCACAAATGTTTCTCAAAGCAATATTTTTGCTGAAATTACACTAAAATCATTATTAACAGATAAAAACATAGTTTTACAAAATTAGGAAGTTTTACAAAATTCCTGCTAAATATACAAGTTTAACCTTTATTGCATTAATAATTAAATATTTGTCAATTTTAAATTATGCCTTTTAGCAAAATGGTGAAAACGTATGCAAAAATGTAAGTAACCAAATCGCTTTAAAAATCAAAAGGTTTTCATTTTTCACTTGTAGCTTTCAGAATTTAAAAAAAAAAAAACCAAACCATATATTTTCTGAAAGCACATGACCAGTAGAATATAAAATAAAGGTCTTCTGATTTTTAAGGCCCCAGGATATTAGTGCAAATCTTTATCAAACAGTATTTTCACTAAAAATACACTAAAATCATTATTGGCAGAGAGAAATGCAGCAAATTTCACAAAATTCCTGCAAAATTCCTACTAAATAAAATAGCTTAACCTGTATTGAGTTATTTACCAAATATTTGTCAATTTTAAATTGTGCTTTTTGCGAAATGGTGAATATCGAACATATGCAAAAATTTCTCTAAAAATCTGGAGGTGTTAATTTTTCACTTGCAGCTTTCAAAGTTTGTAAAAGACCACCAAACCATATATTTTCTGAAAGCACATGACCAGTTGAATAAAAAGAAGGTGCTACTGATTCTTTTAGGCATAACAATAGTTGCGCAAATGTTTTTATCAAATCGCTATATTCAGTAAAAAAAAAACCCACTAAGATCCTTATTTGCACACAAAACCACAAATAACTTACAAAATTCCTGCTAAATTCCCACTAAGGCTCCGCTCAATGGGGTGTACTAAAATGTATTTCCATGAAAGGTCATGTTTACCTGCACGGGGATGCACAGGTGTTCAGTGGCGGCGGGATTTAGGTTAATGGCTCTGATCAGCAGCTTGTTAGCCGCTAATCAGAGCTATCCTTTTGCTCAGCAGGGTCTGCTGAACGTTTCTGCTATAAGTTCATGGTCACTGAAGTAATCATGAGCTTATAGCAGAGGAGGAATGCAGGTGTGTTTGGATCTAGCCAGCTAGAATCAGTGTTGAAGGTCGACGTACAAACTGGGCAGTGAAAGGGTTAAGGACTCGTGGGTGTATGCCATCTGGTCCAGGTGCTTTATTCACCTTTATTCTGTCTAAATATATCTGGACCATATCAATTTTGAGCCAATATGGATCATTTGGGGCTGTGTCAATACCATGACCATTAGGGTAAGTGCTCTCCATGCTCCTTTTCTATACATAGAGCAGAAGAAGGTATTTAATACATTTGCCTTCTCTTTGGGCTCATTCACACTAATTTCTAACTCTTGCCAAACGCCCCTATAGCCTATTTGACAGGCATTAGACAGGCGTTTGGGAAGTGTTTTTAATGCTTCTCAAATGCTCCCCAAACGCCCTATGAGTGTTTTTGAGGAGTTTTCCAAGCGTTAAAACCACACCACAAACACCTATAATGACTTTTAATGTTATTAACGCTCTGCAAACGCCTCGCAAACACCTACCAGGCGTTTGAAGAGTGTCACCATAGACTTGAATTGGAGGCTTCAATTCCTTCTGACTGGACACAATGCGTCAATTTTTTCTGCGATGCTAACGCTTCAGTGTGAGAATTTTCATAGGCGTTTGAGAAGCGTTAAAAAAAAGCTTCCCAAACTCCTGCTAACAAAGCTAGTGTGAACTTTGTCCCCAGTCACTCGCTCTAGATTATTTTGTAAAGGGCTTATATGCTCGGACCTGACCTTTTTATTAATAAATTAATTGAAGAGTTTTGGGGGGTTTGTCCTGTTATCTTTGGCAATCCGTCATTCGTTTTCAATTTATTTGGCCTTGATTTTCTTTTTACATATTTTGTTACAGTCTTTGTAATATTTAAAAACTGACAGTGTTCCTTCATTTTTTTATACTATATAAAAGCTCTTATTATCTATAGCTTTTTTAACTTTGCCCGTAAGCCACATAGGTTGTATCTTTACCCTTTTAAACTTGTTGCCCATGGGAATATATTTTGCAGTGTGTTTGCATACAGTCTTTTTGAAGAATTCCTATTTCTGTTCTGTGTTCATCGATGCCAATATTCACTCTCAGTCTAAGTCTTGGAGAGCAGCCCTCTTCCTTGGAAATATTTCTTTAAAGTTGAGTTTTTTTTATCTTTCCCGTAGGTGCATGTTGTTTACAGCTAACATTAAAGTGTTACTAAACCCACAACAGTAAAATCAGTCTGTATATGCAGTAAAGCATGCTTGTTATACTTACTGTGGAACCTAAGGGGTTAATTCTTTGCATTGTGTAAAAAGGCTGTTTGATCCTTTCTTCTCTGCCCCTCCTCTTGTTGAAATGACCACCTGGTACAGACTGCACCCCTGGCCACATGCACATATTCAGTTTGGTGTGTATTGCTAGAAAGGATTTCTTTTTCTTGGGAGGGTGCATGTGATCAGCACAGGGCCGATCAGCACTGTCCAGACAGAGGGTCAGAGGTTTCACATCCTCCTACAGCAGAAAGAAAACTCCTCATACAAGCTTTAACCAGTGCTCTGCTGAAGTCACAAGACTGCTCCAACTGCTAATTAGAAAAGGTATTTAGCAGTTTATATTTACTAAAATAATTGCATTTCAATGTTGCGTGTACTGAGGGTGACCAGGTATGGTGATTGCAGGGTTTTGGGGTTTAGTATCACTGTAAATTAAATCATGTTATGGTCACTGCTACCCATAGCTATATAAACAGTAGTAAGCTCTGCATGGTTAGTGACTGCCAGGTCCAGCAGAGCATCATTCCTAGTTGGGGCCTCTATGAATTGTACCATGGCATAGTCTTGTAATAGATTTATACATTTTTGCTCTTTAACTATTCCTTCAGTGCCATTACCCCAGTCAATTTCCAGATAGTTAAAATTCCCCTATTATTATTACTGGCCCAGCCCTTGCAGCCCTTTCAATCTGTGCAAGGAGGTGAGTCTCCACCTCCTCATTAACACTAGGGTTCTATACCAAACGCCAAAGATTACTTTTTGTAGTACACAGCTCCATGTGCAGTTACACCCATAGTGCTTCAGCCTCATCACACTCTCCATCAACTCGGTCCTCTTTCACACTCTGAGTTGGTAAACACTATTTACCTGCCAATAAATAAATAAAAGCAGCTAGCATAAAGGCAAAACCTCTAAACCTTCTCATAAACCAGTGAATAAATGCATCCCTGGAGCCTGGAGAGTGATGATATGCTGATTACCTGTCTTGTGGTGGTTTGCCAGATGATCCCGATTTTCACTTTTCCAGATCCAGATGACCAGGAGTGGTCTGATGTACTCAAATGCGCATTATATTGCGCTGTCCGATTAGTGCAATATACACTCATTCCTAGCCACTGGAGTCACGGAATTCACTTAATTATTTATTTTGGACTTGCAACTTATTTATTATTTGTATCACCTTTGCACTTTAAACGTCATTATTAAGACGTTTTTTTCACGCTAATGACCTTAGCGCTCTACAGCGCATGTACTTATGTTATTCATACCATACATTTTTTCAGGTTGATATTTATACATTATTAAGCGCTGCATTTATTCACTATTTACCTGCCACTTGTGTCCCAGACTGGCCATGAACAAGGAAGTATTTTGAATCTGATATCCATGCAAGTCCCTTTGTTAACCACTTTCCCTCCAGAGGATTTACCCCCCTCCCTGACCAGGCCATTTTTTGCTATACGTCACTGCGTTACTTTAACTGACAATTGCGTGGCCATGCAACGCTGCACCGAAATTAAGTTTATGTCCTTTTTTTTTCCTCCACAAACGGAGCTTTCTTTCGATGGTATTTCATCGCCTGTGCATCTTTTATTTTTTTGCGCTATAAACAAAAAAGTGCCAATTTTGAAAGAAAAACTAAATTTTTGACTTTTCGCTATAAAACATATCCAGTAAAAAAAAAATGTAAAAATCAAATTTCATCGGAAATTTAGGCCAAAATGTATTCTGCTACATGCCTTTGTGGAAAAAAAATCCCAAAATGTGTAAATTAATTGGTTTACATGCAAGTTATAGAGTCTACAATTGGCGGTATATATACTGGAATTTTTTTTTTTCTTTTTTTAATACTAGTAATGGCGGTGGGTATTCTGACACTGGGGGGAACTAACTGTCACTGACATCCCCAGTGACACTAATACAGTGCTAATAAAAAGCACTGACACTGTACTAATGACACTGGGCAGGAAGGGGGTTAACATCTGGGGCAATCAAAGGGTTAACTGTGTGCTGTTTTTACTGACTCTGCTCTGTGTGTTTTACTGTGTAAGCATGGGGTAATGAATAAGCGCTGTCTTTAGCGTGAAATGCATTTACTTGCTAGTCCCCCCCTGTATTTCCACTGTCTGTATTGGTTTTATCTTGGTTCAATAAAGTGGATTGTTTGGAGTGCAACTGATCGGACTTCCTTTGTACTCAGCAAGGAGGCAATGACAGACGTTTGCACCTTCAAGAATTTGGTTTAGAAAAGGTTTTACTTGTTTTTTATACAATCTCTCAGTCTGAAGAAATGCTTTATTGTGCTACACTAAACTACAACATGAAAACCATTTATTGTTGTGCCATAGAAAGAACAATTAAGAAGCATGATTAACACAAATCTTGTATTGATGGGTCTTTATCTTGTTTGCCTTCTTTCATTGGCTCTGGCTAACCATCCAGAAGACAGTCCCCATTTTAGTAGAAAGTGGTCGACAATTACCACCCTCCATTGCTTTTTTTACCCATTCTGAAATATTTAAACTGATCCAGGTAGGACCAGACTTTACATGACACAAGCCCATAATAGGTTTCCAGCTTCGAGCATTCATTGCTGTCCTTAAGATCCTTCCAAACTGTGGACAGCTCCACATCGTCAAGGTTTGAAGATGAGAAAATCACCTGGTAGCAACAGCGGTTATATCGGACGTGCTTAGTTCCGGAGAATCTAGAGATCTGTATGGGGGCCACGCCAGCCCACTGGGCACAAATACCTAAGAATACCTCAGATGGGAACAAAGGGCTGACCTTTCCAGAGACCAAATACATCTTTCTCAGTACATCTTGAGAGATTGCCATGGCCGAACCACTGCAGTAGTCAGGGTAGTACGTTTGTGAATACACCGAAATAGGGACAAAATTGGGGCTTTGAGGGTCTCTGTCAGGCGCATGGTGATGGATTACCCTTCCCAGGTATATATCATCCATACGGGACTCCAGGCTGAGAAGATATCCAGCTAGGCTTTGAACATTGACAAACGTTTGTTGGTCTGCTTTTAGGATAAATCTAGCGTTAGGGCAAAATGTCACAATCCATTCCATCATCATCATGGTTTTAGTTGTCTCCTTCAGATAGGTTTCTAGGAAACCTCCCTGAACAATGTCCTGATGAACTTGAGATTCATTGAAGATATCTGATTGAAAAATGTCTGAATCTGCCCTGCCCAACATGAATACTCTTGTTACAACATGGCCTTGTACAAAAGTTGCGTTGGCCCAAGTGTCCCTGATTCTTTTTCGTCTGGTTTTATTTTCAGGGCTGCTAAAGATAACCAAGAGCAAGAAGACATCTTGTTGCGAGCACACTTCTGATCCGCTGACTAAGTATGACCGAGAGATATTGTCCTTCAAGAGATGCATGTCTAGCATACGTGCCCGTTCTCTGATCTCAACAAACTTCCCATCGCTGTAGGAAAAGGGAAGAGCCTGTAGAAAATATTCTTCCATGAAGTCAGCTCCAAACAACAAGGCATGAAAGAGTGCAATATTAAATAGGATGAAGCACCACTGATGTGTCCTCAATCTGCACAGTGCCACCTACAAGAGAGTGGTAAGATTGTTACTCAGATGTAAATTAGATTAGACTTGTTTTTTTTTTTTTATTATTTTGGTGGTTTTTTTTTTTTCATATAAAATAATTTTTGTTCAAATAAAATAACAGCGCAGTTATGACACTGGTATCACAAAGCATTATGGGTTTACTAAAAATAGAGTAGAAGACGTTTGCTTACATATTGTCTCTACGTGAGACTTTGTGTAATTTTCTAAGACATAGCTTGAACAGCACTTTTTTTTTTTTTTCTAGAACATTCCATATGCTGAGGAACCGTGTTTGTGTGTACAAAGCTACGTACAGATAGAATTATGGAACGTACAGTATCTGAGTGAAGGAATGTAAATCCATTTCCTAATGATAGTGGCATATATCAGGTGTACATCTGTTCTGACCCAAGTAGAAATACTCCAGTGTGGATGAAGGTATAGATTATAGAATGATTAACAAATGTTACACGAGTTGAACATGTGCTTGTAGAAGGTTTTAGCTGTTTTAGAAGCATGTTATGACTTGACATGGTTGTGTCGTAAAGTATGAGCAATGCTTCTTCATTTGGTAAAGGACCTCAACTTGCGTGACAGGGGTTAATGTGGAACTCTCTAAACCTGCCACATGTGTAACAATCTGATGGTACAGTCTTATTTAGATTTAACAACAGTTATGTAAGATGAAGGCTTCCAGCTGACACCAGATAGTTGTCACATCTAAAGACGTTTGTACAGTAAGATAGTATAGACTGTGATTGGCTCAGTACTTTGTCACATATTATCCCATGGAGCGCTGTCTGCTGCTATATTCAGCTGTGACTTTACTATAGAACCCTGGTGCCCAACATGTGGTCTGCCAGCTCAGTATGTGCATCGTATCATTTCCTAGGCTGGGTCTGCTACCTGTGAGAGCTTTGCATTGCAGCAGCAGGGTGCTGAAACACTCTGCATTCTATGAGCCAGCACTGAAACAAAATTACTGCTGTCAGGTAGAGTGATCTCCACTTGACAGTACATGTATAGTTCTGACCGAATGGGGACAGGTGGCTACATAATACTGCATATGATCACCAATGTGGAGTGGTTAAAAAGCACTGCCACTGACGACCAGTGTTGGGGGGGGGGGGGGGGGATTTAGTAGTACTGCCACCTACACCAATGCTGAGGATTATTATTGCATTCAGGGACATCTACACTGGGGGGAGTATTACTGCGACCACTCAGACTGAGAGTGGCTATTACAGCCAATGACAGCAATGCTGAGGGTTATTATGGTCACTCTCACCAGTAATGGGGCTTATTTTACTCCCGCTTTCTTCTCCATGTGTGTTGTGGTACCCTGCAAAAAAAATGCAGCAGGACCAAATTTAGTGGCAATAAAGTGCACTACAGCCCATTAATTTTCAGTGAGCTGCTTAACTCAATACAGTGCACCTCAACACATAAAAACACAGCCGTTGTGCAGCCCGCACTTGAGGCCCTCTATAATTTTCAAGTTGACCACAACTTATTCTATGGAAGGTTCGCTCTGTACTATAAGAATTAATATGCTTTTGCATCATCTTATTGCATGGAGACCACCATTTGTGATGTCTGTTCTTTTAATGTGGAAAAGAGGAGAAATTGTGCTTTAGTAGGTCTGGTGGCATCTATTTTTACTACATGGTTTGGAAATGAAGCTGAAACAGTGGGAATACTCCCATTGCAGCAGTAGAATTAAGACTCCAAGGTGTTTGGTACCTACTGGCCCATTACCAGTGGGGGTCCCTAGAAAGAAGGAAACTCAGCGGCTGACACAGCCCACTTCACCTATATCTGATTTATCACTTCTGGGTTTATCAACTGCTTGAAAATGACCTAAAGGAAAAAAAAGAGTTTAACATGCTCACATTCTTCAAAGCCTACAATCAGTTTGAATTTTTCCAGATATAGCCAGGTCTGGGACCATTAAGGAGAGTGAATAAAAGTCATTTTTATCATTGTTTAGTCACACAAATCCTCTGACAGCAACCAGTTCAGAAGTGTGACTGTGTACTAGTTGCACTATCCACAACTTCAGCAGCCATGTCAAGTGAATCATTTCCAGTCGGACATGAAATGCAATATGACTTACCTGCATGATTGCTGCAATCTGCACTGGTGATCCTCCTGTGTTGATAATTTTTCATTTAATAGGTTTCAGCATTTGATGACCAATGCTCTCAGCTCAATCCTGTAAAGTGGCGCCTCTTATTTCTGCCACTGTATGCTATGTAGAAAATGATCTGCCTCTACTGCATGGCTGAGTCAAGTAATCAGACACCAGCCAGGTATCAGGTAACCCGAGATCAGAGGATGGATGGGGAACTCCTGACTAATGTGCAAGTAAATTGTGGAGGTGGGCTGTTTTTCCGCAATGAGGAATGTTACAGAGACCAGAGTGCTTGATCATACAGATGTTAAAATTGTATGCCCCTTACAAATACCAGTCTCTGAATTTACTTTGCAGTGTAATGCTAGATTCACTGTTGGTGCCACTATCCTGAATAATTACCTGCAGGGAATGGGGGCCCAGCCATATACAGGGCTCTGACTCCACCTGGCTTCCTACGACAGTCTAATTTTATATACAAGCCATCAAAACCAATTAATTTCCACTGCATGTTACTTGGCAAAAACTTCCATGGATGGAAAAGGCAATAGCCTTTCATACATTGTCTCATAATGTTCATCATTGTGGCTCTCTCTCACATGGTACAAATTTTCAGTAATGAGGAAATGTTTTGTAGTTTAGAGACCTCTGCAGCTTAAAGAAAAACCATACTATAATACAAACAAATAGGATTTTTGTACTCATTGTAAAAGTTAATTGAGAACCATGGGAAGTCTTTCACCTTAGGGATGTCCATAAGCAGTCCAATTGAGAGGTAGATAGTCACAAACATCTACTAACCAGCCCAGCATAAACATAATGTAAAACGGGTCTGCCTGCAGCTCAAGAGCTGAAGCAGACACCAGATGAGGCCATAACCCCAATCTGATATGTAGAACAAGACCAAGTGGTAACCGAGCATACGGAACCAATGCCCAGTGCCACAAAATACATAATTAAAGGAAAGGGAGACCAACATTCCCTAGAACATAAGCCTGGAAGCTGGTCTGCCTGATCCAACCAAAAGCATAGAAATATAGGAACAATCCAGGGAATTATCAGCAATTCTGAGAGGAAAGACCATTGTCCACAAGGAGAAGAAGCTCCTCTGAGAGAGTAAGGGCCAGACAGAGGGATTGGAAAACAATGTCCAGGTCGAGTGAATATCAGAACCATCCTAAATTAGAAGAAGATCATTACTGAACTAAAATAAATAAAGTTGCATGCATGGGGGGGATTGACATTCAGCTTGCAAAGGCAATTACTGACAGAGAACAACTATTAATGTTAACTTAAGTTAGAGCTATCTCTAAGGAGTGTTATGGTGGTTCCTGAGAATGCATAGAGAAATAAGGTTCGATCATATAGTTAACATGGCCAAATGAGGTAAGGTACATGGAACTTCCCATGAAGGGATTAGGCAGGGACTAGAAGTATGGTCTCTTTATCAAAACTTTATCTAGTATTTACATAGTTGGCAAGGTTGAATAAAGACAAGGTTCATCCAGTTCAATCTGAGTGTGTCACTACTGTTCTCCATATCCCTGAACATTGTGATTGCTTAGAAACACATCTAAAAATGTTTTGATCTTATCAAAGATCAAGAATGGTTCTTCATAAATCCATGTTAAACAAAATATAAAATATAAACCCACAAGCAGCTAAATAAATATAAAAATACCTAACCAGCAAATCAATAAATACATTCATAAACAAAACAGAAAAAAGGAAGAAAAACCAAAAGCCGCCCACCCCTACACATACTCATATACATGTGCTGCATAACATAAAACACACAATAACAGTGCCATGCTTTTCTCATAATGTAATTGGAACCACTTAAACGTGACATAAAATAATATCCCCAATATAACCGAATTAGTGAAAAAATACGTATAGGGGAGGGGCTTGGTGTCGGCACGGCACTCGCAGTCAGCTGACTCCGGAGAGAGATCGCGGAGGGGAACATGAATGGTGCTTTCCATAGCCAGATGGTGTCATCTGTTTACAATTCATGCGGATGTTATTGGGTGCAATGGAGCACCTGTATCATGTGAGTTGCTTCTTTATATTTTAATACAATTAGTGTTTTTTAATGATAAAGCACTATTGATCTGCCTTTTTATTTTCTACATGCATGCTGAGTGGAGGAGAAGAAGTTACAAGAAAGAGCTTAACCAAAACAGAAGGAGGAAGGAAGCAGAATTAAAAGAGAAGTATGGGGTGTTAAAAAAAAAAAAAAATATATATATATACTCACCTAGGAGGATGAAGCATTGATCCAATACTGCATCTGTCCCCCACCGGCTCTGCACAGAGAACTGGGCAATCAAAGTCCGCTGATCGCTCAGTTCTCCCCTCTGCTCTAAGCAGAAAGCTGTGACAGTTAGTCTCAAGCTCTCTGCTCTGCCCCTCCAGTAGTCACTGGAGCGCTAGGCTGGGGAGGGCTCTCAGCATACTGCTGACAGGCTGAGCCAAGTGCCAGTCAAGGCTTCTGGGTGAATCCCCACCATATGGTCAGGATCTTTTCAAAACTTGGACCGGCTCTATGACGTCACCCGACAGCCCGCTGTTGGCTGAAAAAGGAGTGCAGAATGAACTGTACTCCTGTGATCCATAGGAAAGCTTTGGCTATTCTTCTTTAATGATCTACACAACAAATTCAATCCAGCAAAATCTATTGAAATCACATTAAGCAGTTTCTAGAGATTATCTTTGATTACATTTTTGCCCTAAACTGTACAAAATTCATTACTGTCATTCGGGGGAAGCC